TTATAAATAAGTGTGTCATTACTTCAAGATTTTGACAAGTTTAAAATCTGTCACTTAAAATTTATAAAATTATATATGGACTAACGAACTAATAAATTATTTCTAAAAACCACTGCTAGCAGGTGTTTGGCCGTTCTGGAAAGAGCTACATGGTTAACAAAAAATTCTATTAATAAAAAAAGATTAAAATTTTTGGTAATAACAAATGAATCCTAATAAATGTAATGAGGCCATTCAAATCATAGTTTTGCTGGAATGGATACAGTATTATTGTATTTATCTGTCCAATATAACTGAATTTTTTAAATCATTACAGTTTTCATTTTATTCTTCTACTTATTAAATTTAATTTATTCAAATTGATTTACGACTACTTAATGTAGAGCTATTGCTTATGTAAATATAAAGAAAGCATTTAAGTCTGCAAAACTCGGACTTTGAAACTAAGCATATTTTAAACAATTATATTTACATATTAAATTTGTATTTAATTATAAGAAAATTAGAACTGTTTGTGATACACCCGTATGACAAATATTTGGACTTTGAGCTTGATTTCAAGACAAAACAAGTTGCGATCATTAATAAACCAGTCCAACTTAACGCCATCCCAACCTTTGTTTATTTTTTTTTTTGCCGTTAAAAACTTAAAAGATAATAAAAAATTTTAACAAATAAATGTATGTTATGACATTGATATATCGGTCCATACTATACCCTACATGTAGTACAATAAGTTCGTGGAGTACTGGTAGATAAGCGAGGAAAATAATAATAAATATTTAATAGGTGCTAGCTTAGAGCCAGTCAATAATGTATCTTTAATTCTATTAATTGAACTTATCATACCAGTTAGAGTTTTTTTTTTTTGCTTTTTAACACTGACTTTGTTAATTATTTTAATTAAAGTATTATAGTTGTGTATAATTATATATATGTAAAGTAGAAAGTAATACATATTTTTGCTTTATTTTTCTTGTTAAGTGCTATTTTATTTATTAGAAATATCTACTTACTACACTAACTAAACATTATGTATTATGTATGTACTATTTAATACAATTAAATCAAATTTATTCAAAAAATCGCTATTATAAAAGTCAAACTCATCATTACAATTAATTTGCAATGCAAGTCATATTAATGAGAGTCTGAAGTCGCGCTTTTTATATTTTAAGTTGAACACCAGAAACGTTTGAATAATTATAATGAAAAAATTATTCCAAGCTGCCGGCTTAAAAACCGGCTTAACTATTGTTGTGGTTTTTTTCTAAACCAAAAAGCCGGCATATGTTACTCAACTTGTAAACAAGTTCTAAGCCAAAGAGCAATTGAACTTAGAAATCACGTTATAAATTATATCATTTTTTATATTAGATACACTACCGGTAATTAAGATATTTATAAAATTTTAATAATAATGTACGTAAGGAAATCTCAGAACGTGTCATTATGAGTTTTAAAGAACGTTAAGACTGTATAGTAATATAAATAAAGTTTTGGCTGATTATAGAATATAGAACGAAGACCTAAAACCGCTGAGTCTTTGTAGATTATTGCACTACACCTTAACAAGCTTTTTTCTATAGCAATAAAATCATAAGAGTACATAAGCACATGCCCATTTAATGCACTTTTGAATTTATCTCGATAAATGTGTAACAATTAGTTATATTTTATATACAGAAACATGCGAATGCTCTAGACACCTAACGAAGTTCACAATACTTTCCATCGGATAGTGCTGCATTTTCAATAGATGAAGTATTTTTATTCTTCTTTTAGTCTATGATTAGCCCGAACAAACATACAAATTGAGACCTTCAGTCCCATCCACTTTTAAGAATAGACTAATCTAACAGTAGATATTTCAATTTTGTTTAAATAAAAATGTTAGCCGATGACTACTGAATCTTAACCTTTTAGTAATTAAGGTGCTGTACCAGTAGTAAATGATATATCTTTGCAGAAAAGTTATCTGAAATCTGTATTTAGCTGATCTCGAAGCATTGTTCAAAATTTTAGTTATAAACTTGCGAAACTCGTAATACGTATAACTTTGTGCTTCAACTGGTCCTTGAAGCACGAAGTTATACTTGTAGTTCACAGTATCATTATTAACGACTCCAGCTGAACTATATAGCCAGCAAAGAATGATATGATATAGCCTCATTACTACTTGCCACCAAATGCATTATTACAATACACTTGAAGTTCAACAGTTGTTAAGCAGTTTTGAAGGTTTAATATCTTCATCATTGTTTGACTCTCTGAGAAAACATACATACAGTGGATTCTGGACATATCGAATTAGAAGCAAAATGCTGAAAATTTCGAGCTCATGGTTTTTCGACTTAATAAGAATTTTGAAATATAAAGCTAACATATTTAATTGCTAACATTTCGATTTAGAAAGTCAGAATATCTAGCTATATTTTAAGACTTGTAAATATCGTTAAATGAAAATTATACAATAGTTTTATAGTGGATATTTATTTAAAGAAATTTTTGGTAGTGGTAGTATTATAAAAGTAACCTCTACAAACAAGAATAGATAATTCCAATACATCTATGTAGTCTGTTTTTTTATATTATAGCTTTGGAGTGGCAATTTTTTTCATATCTGATGATTATAATATAATGAGATTCAAGTTATAAAGATTTCACTATATGTATAAATTCCATTGAAACTTTTGGACAGTCTAAAACTTTTGATAGATACCGAGTGTTAACCACCGATCACAAACCATTAATTTTTCTACCAAAGCAAATAAACTAATAAAATAAAGTGTTCTGCTTTATACCTAATCTTTCATTCAACAAACATTTTTTTAATAAGACCGAAGTTTCATAAATGTTTTTTTTATGGAGTACAAAGTTGGATATATATACGTATAGGTATATTTTAAATAATCGATGTATCATTTATATCATTTAGACTCAACTGATATAAAGTATAATTACTTAAGTAGAATAGAAATTGCATTTTATGTGTTTTAATTTGCAAATCAATTAATCAGTAATCAATTTTTAATAATGTTTTTCATAAATTTTAATTAAATTTTAATATAACCTTTTTATATGTAACTGCATTAATTATTAAAAGTAATTAATTTCATTAATTCAATTAAACTTCAATTATTTATAATTATACTAGCCAAGAAATTAAAAATCTTATTTCTTATAATACGTCTATTAACCTTTAAGTCTGATATTATTATTTAGCATGATTCTAAAAACTTCACTGAGTCATAATAGTTACTAGATATAATATGTGTAAAATTATTAAAGGTTGTACTTTTTTTTATGCCTTTGACTTTTTAGATAAAACAAATAATGAAAATTATACATCAAATTTTAAAAAATTATAGTTTATCTGGTCTGATGAAACAAGATATAATAAGATTAAGTAACCGATCTTAGTTGTGTTTTAACCCCAATTTTATCCTAACTGTATCTTGCATTACTCAAAGAACAGATATACTTGATATACAGATTATGATCTTAAACTGATATTATGATATAGCGAAGTTTAATGGTATTAGCAATTGTTCTCTATAATAATCTAGCAAATATTAAGATTGTCTAAAATATTGTATAACCTGGAAAAAACTCTATGGGGAGCTACTTTATTTAATATTACTTCGATCTGGTATCATAATTCACAAGACAACCTGCTCGATTGAATGGCAAGATGCTAATTCCTTTTTGCATGTAAAACAATATTTAGCATCCAATAATAAATACTAAAATAAGAATAGCTGCAGCCATATTTAGCAGTGATTTTAACAGACCTAGTCAGAACCCTAATTAAGCTGAAGAATTAAATTTTTAATTCGTTTAAATAAATTTTAATTTCCAAAATAATTATATACCTAATCTGACAATAGTTCAAAGTTGAACAAAATTTTGCAGCGGATTTTTTAGATATTAGATATTTTTAGATATTAGATATAGTAGATATAGTGTTTCAATACAAAAGTAGTCATGTTGAACAGTCTGGATATTGTTATACGTCTAGTTTAATAAAGCGAGTTCAGATATTATACTTAAGAACCAAAATGTATTCATATTGATAGAAAACAAACATAACGCAATTTAATATCCGAAAAAATTCTTCCAATATTCGATTATCAATTTTATTTAAATTGTATTATCCAATAAACAGATTCAATGTATATATTTTTTTGTTGCGTATTAGTTTACTCGTATCTACTAATAATTCACATATAGAACCATATTTAATACACAAAAGATATCCATCAATCATTTCTTATCAACTCCCGCACTTTTCGATACTTTACACGTCGGATCAAAGAAAATATGAACCACAGCATTCGTCTAACCCCATAACTTAGATACTCTTTACATTGGTTGATATATTTTAATAATGACAATCATTTTAATCAACTAACAACTTAATCAAAAATTTTATTTTAGAGATTATTATATATGACCCATTGCCATTTTTCGGGTAATTTCTAACGCCGGTGTAGAACTTCCTTTGTTTTCCGGGGAATAACTTGATATTGTAAACTTCCTTTATAAAATTGGTTCCAACTTTATAAAATGTGAATCGAACGACTAGCAATTCTAACCTCTTAAGACAAGTGTTTTTTGTGAAAGAGTATAATTTGTATGAGAATCAAAAACTGGATACTACCAGTTTTCTACTTTTTTCCACAGTTAAAAAAGAACTCCATTTATAAAAGCGTTTGCTGAATATAACTTTCATTTTACTTATAATATTCTCTTAAATTATATCTTTTTTTGTATAATATAATAGTATAATAATTTTTATATATGTAGGTACTAATCCTTATGAGAAAGAGAAAGAGATAGTTATGGTCACTTACATATATTAGAAAACCACTTTCTTGGGTTCTTCAAACATCTTTTTTTCTCATTTTTGGAAATGTAAAGAGAAATAATTAAAAATCGATAATATCTAAGCATTCAAATAAATACTTTATTTTTAATTAATTTCTTAAGCATTTTAATTCACATTTAAGTGTTCTTTAATTTATATATTATATTATGTATTATATATTTATATTAGCCACTTTAAACAAGAGCGGCATTATTTTTGTAGTAACATTCGAATAGTTTGAATGCAGTATCACAATTATTTGCGCCTTTAATATTGTTGCATTTTTTCATGATATCCTTTACACTATCAGCTCCGAAAATTGGACTCAATTTGCTAGATAAAACATCCTCTTTAACGGCACCATTAACGAAGAAACCCAATTTATCCAAGAAACAGTTGGCGAAGCATTTAAGATTTTCAGCAGCAGAGTCAAATTTTCCTTGGTTCAGTTTTAGTACTTCATCCATGGTGATCTTCTCCTTTTCGATACATTCGGCAGCTGCTGCTTGAAGTTTAGCATTTTGATCTGCATTCAGTGAAACGGACTACAAGGAAGAAAATATTTACAATATTTAATATTATTCCATTTTATTCTGAACTTTTTATTAGATTTTATTAATGTGGCATTATTATTATATTATATTAATTTATTTATTTTATATGTTATAATATTAATTGCTCACAACTGCGGCGAAAGTAACTGCAACGGAAGCTACTACAATCAATACTGCCAAGAATTTCATCTTTGATTTCTTATTAATTATTAAAATCGCGAATTGAAGTCAAGTCTTGTAAAACTGAACTGATAGCTTACGATCGGCGTTAAACCCTTTTATATGGAATTTTCAATAGTTTATTTTCTTTTTTATTACACTGCAATCGTACTGAGTACGTGAGTTATACAAAGTCCATATTTATATACTTTTAAAGTATATATTCAGCGGCTCTTCGGTCGGAAAGTTTTTCACTATAAAGAGAGTTTTATAGAAACCGACAGCTTGTGTGGCGACCTTTCTCCAGTAATTGTAAGATTTCGTTGATTTTTTTATTGTCTGGTCGATATGAGTGCAGTGCATCATTGACATCGAAATTTGCAAAATGGAATTAAGCAAATCACTTCTAGGTTCTATGTTCATTCTCAGTATCCCCACCGTAAAACATCACTTAGCGTGTTTCTTCAGACATTTCACTTATTTACAAATTAACTTAAGTTTTTAACCGATTGAGAAAGTACATAACTTTCTTACTAAAAAAGTGTATACTAAAATGTCACCTTTCATTTAAAACACGTGTTCTTTTGAAATAAGCGGATTAGTGTTGCCAGATATACGGGTATCTGAATATCCGAATATCATCTATTATTGAAAAATTTTTTTATTGAAATATTATTGAAAACTACGGCTAATTTTTGTATAACCGATTTCGATTCTAATTTCACAGGCATGACTTCTAAGCCTAGCACTTGCAGTCTAAACAAATTATATACGGTCTATAAACTAATTAAAAAAAATTGGAATGTTTTCTCAGACCACTAATGATGAGTACTTGATAATATTCGAAACAGCGTTGTGTGGTCAGCCAAGTTTTAATAAATTAACTAAGGTTATGTTGTTGTCTTTGCATTTCTATTCGAACCCCTCGGTGTACTAAAATTATTCTTAGAAGTACTGACCTATGTTTTTAATAATTTTAAACATGGAAAAAATCGCATTTCTTACGTCATTGTTTTCAAGTCAATTTACTTAATTATTTATATTTATTGGTTGTGTTTATATATTTTCTTCTGAAATTAATTGCTTTATGAAACAAAAGCAATAGAACCAATAATAATAATAGTAAAAATAAGTAACAATTTATTAATTTAAAATATTTATAATTAAATTATATGTAAGTGTAATGTGTCACCGAAACTGTTAGATATTTTATTTCCTTTCTATTGAATGGAATTAAAATCTTGTAGACTCATTTTGGTGTGAACAAGTGTGGGGCTAAATAAATTAATTATCATAATTTTGTCAAGATAAAATAAGCATATTTCTTAATTCAATAGTTTATACTTAAATAAAAATTTATTTATTCTCAGACTGTTATTTAATGAGATACAAACACTTTATAAATAAGTGAATTCAATTATTTAACTTGCAATTCTTAACTAATAATAACACAATAAGACTTAACTAAAAATGCTGATAAGTCGTGAATTGTCAAACTTTCGTGATTTATTAAAGTTTAAATAACCCAAACATTACAACTTACTTTATGAGTTAATCTTTAATTATGTATATTTAAAATTTTGAGATCAAAGTGCAGATGGCTTTGTAAACTTAAGGGAAGTAACTCCAAAACTAAAACTCGTTAGGTAAATTTGCTTACAATAAAAAAAAAATATTGCAAATACAATTTAAATTAATGCCTCTAAATAGAATTTGTATAATAAATTTTAATATATCTGAATCGAAACAAAAGTTTTTAAAATACTCTGAAAATATAAAAATACTCAAATAGAAAACGAGTTCAGTGAAGTGAAAAAAAAATACTGACTACTGGAAATTTCATATAAAAAGGTTTCTCGACGATCGTAAGACATCAGTTCACTTCCACAAGTTTTGACTTCAACTTGCGAATTTATTGCTTAATAAAAAAATCGAAGATGAAATTCTTAGTAGTATTCGTTCTAGTAGCTTTCGTTGCAGTTACTTTCGCCGCAGATGTAAACTTTTTTTACAATAAAATAAAATAAAATAAATAAATTAATACAATATAATAATAATGCAATAATAATATAATCTAATATATATCCCGAATTTACATGAAATAATATTAAAATTTGTTAATTTCGTATTCCCGTTTCATTTCAGGCCATCTCATTGAATGAGGAACAAAAGGCTAAAGTTCGTGCTACCGCTGGCGAATGTATCGAAAAGGAGAAGACCACCAAGGAGGAAGTACAGAAGCTGAGACAAGGACAATTTGGTGCTGCTGATGAAAATCTTAAATGCTTTGCCAACTGTTTCTTGGAAAAATTGGGTTTCTTCGTTAATGGTGCCATTAAAGAGGATGTTGTATCTGGCAAATTGAGTCCAATTGTCGGAGCTGATCGTGTAAAAGAAGTCATGGCAAAATGCAACAGTATTAAAGGCGCCAATAATTGTGAAACTGCATACAAATTATATGAATGTTACTACACAAATAACGCCGCTCTTGTTTAAAATGACTAATATAAGTCAAATAACATAATGTGAATTAAAACGCTTAAAACATTATATTAAAATACAAAATTTATTTTAAAGTGTAGTTGTTACTAATCTTTAACCATTTTTTCAAACTTTTTCGAAGATATGAAAAAAATTGTTTAAATAAAACCAATCCATTACTTTTATCAAATGCATAGTATAATGAATTTGTATTTTTTTTTTCAAGCAAAGCCAAAACTTAACCTACAATAATGTCAACTGAGCATTTCAAGTCAGGCTTGATAGTATATAGTTTCCATTTTGTATACAAAATATATTGAATAGGTCTCTTAAGCGGTCACAGTTTCTCTTCCTCCGGTTAACACTATATAGCACTTTTACTGTACACCAATTTTATAAAGCTTTACAATATTATGAAGGTACACTAAAACGATTGCATGGTACTATGGTACCACTTTCTACTCCAATTATATGCAATTTGATAAGATTTATTTATTCAATCAAGTTTCCATAAGTCCAAATTCAAAATCCAAATAATTTCTGATAGCAGAATACTAAGAAGAGCAGATGGCTCCTATCCTAAAGAAAATAATGACGGCAAGTATTAGTAATGTGACAACTACTAGCAACGCTGAATTCCTCTGGGATAATATCACATAAAGGCATTGTCAAAAATACATACGGAATGCTCATCAAAGCTGACTGGTAAAAAATTAAAATAAATAAAATAGAAAATATGCGGTATACTGGCTCTCAATGTATCTTTTTTGTTTCGTACCAAATCTTACTGAACAGAGAATATTCCACCCTTCGAGTGAAAACCGGAATAAAAGGGATTGAAAACAGCACAAATCAGATAGGGATAGGATATCTCTGTTCAATAATCTTCTTTTGGATCAGTCAGCAATTTGTTTCCTCAGAGAGACTAATTCTTTTGAAAAGATAATGCAGATTAGGTTGACACATTAGAGAATCCAACAATTACCTCAACTTTGAAATGGTACTTTCTACTATTGTAGAAAGGAACCGAGTTTTTATCCATGCAGTTACATAACCTCTCTCTCTAGTAATGAGTTTTTTTGGTTATAAAGTACTTTTCTATCAGTGATCTCATTGTAAACCAAAGAGCTGTGTATGCTAATGATCATTTTGATATGTAATCCCATAAGCTAATAATGATGATGACAATAACTTGTCTGGTTGCTATATGAAATAATTTTACAGTATGCGTTCGCAAATAATCCTTAAAACTATATTTTTATATGGCAGCGATATCCATATGTGATAAATAAGTTTTGAAAAAATTTTCATATATTTCATGGACTTGAAAACTCGGCTAAATTCAATACTGTTGTGCGTGTCAATATATATATAAAATATTTATTTATCTAATAATTATACTTGTATATGAATGCATAATTTGCAATTTGAAGCCACATAAAATCGATAACCTTCATTTGATAACTTCCTATAAGTCTAAAAGCAGGTCGCTAACGTATAACAAGTGCAAGAGCGCTGTTTAATTTTGTTACTATATATATAGGTATGGAAGTCCTAATATAGTTATGAAATGAAATAATAAACTATATTATAAATAAAATAAACTATACTATAAATAAAATGAAATAATATTAAATATTGTAATTATAGACGTAATTGAGTAAAAAGCTAGCGTACTTCTAAAAAGAGTGAAAGTAGTATACTAACGTATAACCAGAAGAATAGTTGTGATTTATCTTGTTACTTAAAATTGAAGCTAGTAAAGAAGAAAAATCTAATTTAACAAAAAACTCTTAAAGAATATTCTGAACAGCTGCTATCATATCATAAAAACATGTGTTTATAAAAAACAGTACAAATAAAAAAAACGAATAAGGTGTAATTTTATTGAAACTTAAAAAAAAATATTATTAAGATAATTAGACAAAAAATACTGCGTCAACATTATTAACAGAAAAATTATAAAAGAAGCATTTATAAATATTGTTATTTACAGGATTTTTCGACAAAAATTAATTTTTTTTTTAATTTAGAAGAATAAATAAATTTACTGTGAATTTCTAAAGCAGTAAAAAATTGTATATTCAACATCAATAGTGATGATCAAGATTTGCCAATAATAATTCCAGGAATGGAATCGTAGGATGGCAAAAAATACCAATCTTACTAAATTTATAAAAAACTAAGAAATTATTGTTAAAATAAATATTTTACTATAAATACCATTATAAATACTGAAGGGCAAACAGTATATTTAAGTACATTGTGACCGAAAAGCTTTCGGAAATTCTCATTTAAAATTCGCGCGCTGTATATTTTTCGATATTTTAAG